ACGCTTGAGGTATTCGTCCAATCACTAGGCACTGTATAGTTGGCCAATCAACAGCACATCTCGCTTTTTCAGACCGATGAGCTTTGTAAAAACCCAACGTGTTTCAGAAAGGCAGGGCATAGAGGAGAAACAATAATGTACAGTATGTGGAAAAGAATGTGTTTTTTGAACCTTAAACCGCATAAACACATTTCATTACACCAAATACACAAAATAATGTTCTTTTTAGCAGCATCATATGACCCCTTTAATATAAGTCTTGACATTGAGATTGATATTTTAATATAAAAGTTGATCAAATGCAGCCATGCAAAATTGGTATTTAAAATGCCATTATACAGAAAGAATCAAAGATGAAGAATCTATTTCCCTTTTTTCTCACCTCAAATATGTGGAAAATATTTGCTCAAGGCCTAGTCCTTTTCTATGTGGGTCAGGTTTAATAGGCATGACAACAACCTGTGGTAACCTGATGTTTTGTTTGTGGAAACATTTGCAGATTAATTTGTACATGTTGTTTTTGAAGAACAGGTTTTACGTCTATGTCTGTGAGAGCAAATGTATAGGCTATTGGACCCAAATGAGCCCCTGAATCGATGTGACGAACTCTGACATGGTCACGTGAAAAAGGCCTCAGTGATAGTGACTCGTGTTTGTGTGACTGATTCTTACCTGATGTTAAGCTGTAAAACCAAAAGATCATTTTACAAACACCTGCTGACTTTAATACCTCATAAATTAAAAAAATCTAAATCAGGGGTGTCAAACTCATTTCCTGGAGGACCACAGTCCTGCAGAGTTTAGCTCCAACCTGCTCCTACACAGGTTGTTTAAAAAACGAACCTACCTTTAGTTTTCAGGTAATTCTAAAGACCTTGATTAGCTTGTTCAGGTGTGTTTAATTAGAGTTGGAGCTAAACTGCAGGTCTGTGACACTCCAGAAACTAAGTTTGACATCCCTGCTTTTAATCATTGTGTAAGAGTATGTGACCAGAAGGGTCACAAAGAAGTTTGCAATTTATCCTAAGAAAAATCAATCTGCAGTTTTATAGTGGGACTGTAACTTTTACAGACATTTAACCAGTCATGTTCTCTTTGACTCTGCTTTTCAGCTGCAATGCATTGTGAGCATGAGAGACCCAAATGGAGAAAACCGTTCTAATTGGCTGTGTTTTGTGATTAATTGATCTTGCGTCATGGCCCATTTTTCACGTTTTGTTTGAACAGACAAATTGCTTGTCACTGGAATCTGGCCTTGTCGTGCCTGGTTAGGACATGGTTATTAGTCCTTGATAGGCATGTGGTTTCCATTGGTCCAGTCATCTCCGTTATTACATAATCATCAGGGTATTTGTTTGGGGAAATCTGTGGCTATCGATGCAGACGTTCTGTCTCACTGAGGATGTTTACATGAATTAAGCTCTGAGCTACATCCCCATTCACACATTCAAATGTCATCTCACACCAACTGTGTGGAATCAATGAAAACTCAAATGCAGCATGACAAAAAGTGTTTTTGGTGATGGAAAAATTAAGTGTTAAATAATTGGTAGGATTTAAGGGTAGAAATGTTTTGATCCACTATAAGAAAGCTCTCTTCTGCTCATCGTGAACAGTTGCAGAGAACAATGAATCAAGAGTGAGACTACAGGATAGTGCCCAGCTCTGTGGGAGGCATACAGGCAGCCATCCGTTGATAATGTTTTATCAAAGCCTGAGCTGATGCCGTCATTGCATGAATAATGATGTCTGTAAATGTCATTATTCTCCAGGTGGTCTGCTGCAAAGAAGTCAATAATGGATCACTCAGCCTAAGCACAAACTCTGTGAGCAGACACATGCCACCAGAGTTCTGCCTACACACTGAACCCAATCAATCGCTGCAGTGCATGGCGTTGACTATTGGCAGAACCTGGGCTTGATGTCTGTGGATGGAATGTGTGGTGGAAAACTTTTAGCACTGACACTTTTTCATACTACATCAAGAATGTTTGGACTGCGTGATTAAATAATTAATATAGAACAATTAATGATGGTATTTATTAGGGCTGGAGGATTAATTGAAAAATAATCGAAACCAAAATTCAGAACCTTTAATCAACATAAATTTCCCATGTCGGTTATTTCGTTTTTTTTTTATCCTGTTAATGCTTTCCCAGCCCTCTACGAACACCTTGGCAATTGAATCGCCATTGGCTAGTAAATTTTTTTGTTTACTCGCCAGACTGATAAATATATACATATACATACACATATACATATACACACACACAGAACATATCAGAACATATAACGCAGATAAAATGCTTGAAATGGTGTAATTACTTCGTTTGTCCAGCAGAGCGTGCTCCATTGTTTGTATAATATACACAAAGAATATCGGCCGATATATCGTTATTGGCCTTTTTTTTTACTCCCAAATATCGGTATCGGGCCCAAAAAAACCATATCGGTCGGCTCTACTCTTAATCAGAAGTGTTCTATTTACATTTTTGCACATGGCATTATTTAAAATATTTGTTTACAGGAGATGCAAGTTATTTTCTACTTTTCACGTGACACAATATTTAAAATGTATTTTGTTTGAAAGAGATGCTGGTTATTTTCTTATTTCGATATGGCAATATTTAAAATCATTTGTTTTGTTTGCAAAAAATGCAAGTTGTTTTCTACTGTAGGAAACTTGCTTTTTACATTAAAACTGAAATGATTTTTTTTTTTCATTTGACGTTTTCATTTCAAGCAATGTTTGCTTTGATTTCAGTTGTTCGAAATATTCAGTAAATAATCATAAAGAGTTTGTTTCCTTTAATCATTTTAAAATCACAGATAGGAAATTCACTCTTTCATTAGGAAAAAAAATATTGTTGAGCATATTTACAGTACAAGTCTTGTCAGTGAACTATTACCCCTTTTCCACCAGCATGAACCGGGTGCTAGTTCAGAGCAAGCGTTATTGCCGGTTCGGAGTTGGTTCAACTGGCGAGCCTTCTAAGAACCAGTTTGCCTTTCCACAGGCTAGAGAGCCACCACAGAGCCAGGTCTTACATCAATGAATATGTCTCATCTTTACCTGTAACACTAGCGCGGCAGCACGACACCAAAGCAACGCGAAAGCGATCCAAAAGCATAAAGAGAGTTGTCTGCTTTCCAGTCACTCCCGCGGCACAATGATCGGTACATGCAGTGCCGATGCAGCCCGAACAAGCCTAAACTCACAATCAACAGTGATGGACATTGCATTGCTATTGATGTTCATGGCTTTGCGAATCTACATCAGCATCCAAACACGGCAAATTCAACGTGTTCGTGTTTAGCTGCTATTTCAAAAATGGCAGTCAAAAGTTTGTTCATCTTGTTGGTCACAGTATCCCCACCCCCAGTCCCTGTCCCTGACGCAAGCGGTTCTTACTTCTAGACCAGCAATGTTTTGGTGCTACTTACGAACCACTTTTCCTGGTTCGGAGCTGGTGCTTTGGGTGACGCAAGCGGCCAGCAGTGTTTTGGTGCTACATACGAATACTCTTTTCCTTGTTCGGAGCTGGTGCTTTGGTTGTCGAAAGACAAAGAAACGATTTAAAGCTAGGCTCTTGCTCCAAACCAGCACTCAAACTGCCTTGGTAAAAAAGGGGTATATGAGGGCCAACCCTAGTATTTAGTGTCGTCAAAGGTTTAATGGCTGTGTGAATGTATGGAAATGCCGTGGGTAACTATATCTGTTAAATAAATGGGTTAAATTATGATTATTCAGCCCTCTACGAACACCTTGGCAATTGAATCGCCATTGGCTAGTAAATTTTTTTGTTTACTCGCCAGACTGATAAATATATACATACACATATACATATATACACGCATATACACACACACATATACATACACACATATACACACACACACACATATATTATATTATGATGGTTATAATATGATCATTATATTATTTTCTTTGATCTTTTGAGGAAAGAGGTCATTGTACCACAGTGAAGACATACTGTTGTTGTTTTTTTTTCTTACCTGTGGACACATAAGGTAATGCTTTTTTGTGAGTGTCAGGTGATGTTTCTTGCACAACGAATGGAAGTAAAACCTAAAACGTGCATTGGTGAAACAGACAGTTTAAACTTCTCTTATTAGTATTGGATGTTACTAATTGACCTATGGAGTCATTAAAAAGTTTGTTCACCCAAAAATGCTGTAAAATTTTATAATTTAATTACTCACCCTGTCCTTGCAAACCCATACGACTTATGTAAATTAACATAAATTAAGATATTTTTAATATTCTTTCATAATTGTTGCCCGTTCATTGAACAACATTATTATGAATAAATGATGACAAAATTTTGATTTTGGGGTGAACTATCCCTTTAAAAATCTCTGATTGGCCATTAATGGATTGGGACGATGTCCCGGAGCTATTGTGTTTTCCAGTCAGGCTACCAAAATGTATCACTACTCTGCCCGACGGGCTATCTTAAATTTGGCCATAAAAGGCCATAAAAAGTTTTAAAGGGGTCATATGATGCTTTTTTAAAGATCATTATGGGCGCTAAAGCTGGCTAATTCGCACTATTCCTACAAGTCTTGTGAAGACACAGACCAGTTTTTTCAGACTATGTTCCCAGACAGCAAGATAGCAGCCAGCTTGCATGCGGCGAACGCAAGTGCTCATATTTATGTACTTTTGGACTGGCTCCTTATTTTAAGAGATAGAGGTGAACTACCCAATCCAAAAGTAAAGTCATTTGAAGAGGTGAAGATGCGCAGTGCTGATCCTCTCTTCCCAGTAAAAGTGGGAATATTCAACAGCATTGCGAGAGAAATCGACCCCTTCCTCACCATGTATCAGTCTGACCAACCCATGCTGCCCTTTCTCTCCGGTGATATGTACAAACTGATTAAAGGTAAGGACAAACATGGATTGTGTGATTGCTAATGATGTTTAATTCTATACACTGCAGTAATTAGAAACGCACACAAATATAATTTTTTTTATTACAAAAATAAAAATACAATTTATAAATATTACATTTTGAACGTATTAGCGCAGTTAGCCACTCATTTTGGTATTTGTGGCTTACAAGCTGTTTGAGACTGAGTGCGGCTTGTGTGCGCTTCACTAAATTAGATTAGGGGGTGCGTGCGCTTTTGGTGTAAGCGCGAAACCTGCGGGAATGACTAAAATAATGCGCAATACAAGCACTATTTAACCGGAGCGAATGAGACGTGTGTGAGAGAGAAGGGGTCGTCGGAGAGAAGAGAGCGAGAATGCGCGGCTGACGTTATTGCCTGTGCCGCTGGTAACAAAACGGATCGGCTCGGAATCGGAAAGAAGTGAGACTGATCGGCCGATCACCGATCCGGGCCGATTATGAGGAAAATCGGCCGATTCCGATCCCTGGCCGATTGATCGGTGCATCTCTACTTTTTTTATTTGGGCTAGTTAAATTAATTTTCGGGCTACCAAAATTTGAAGAGTACCTGCCCGAAGGGCTACCAGGGATTCTGAAATTTTGCGAGCCCTGTAGATGCAAAGTGCCATTTACAGTATGTTGTTTTTACATTAGTTAATCACAACAGCATACTTGTGATTATTATGTGAATTGATGGTGCAGTCCTAGTACATACTTTGTCTCCAGGACAAATAAGAGTTAGAATGTGGTCCCGTTTCATTATTTTGCTCATTCCTGATGCAGAATTCATTCTTCAGAATTCATTCAGTGATGTGTGGTGTTTTGTGAAACTGAGCTGATTTAAATCAGTCTGTGGTATGAAATGTTAATAGGTTTGGCAACTTTCCCTTAAAATGTTTTAAGTGTTTTTTTGTTTGTTTTGTTTTTTTGTTTTGTTTGTTAAAATGTTCACGAAAATTTTGATTGTAAGTTTGATTGAGTGTAGCATCAGATCGATTTCAGCTGAGTTGATTAATGTTGGCCTTTTCACTGTTACTCTAGAATGGATGAAACCAGAAGTGTGGTGACAGCTAGCGTGACATACTGTTGAGACAGAGTTGAGAGGGGTAACTAAGTGGTGCTGACAGCCCTAGCTTCACATTTCACATATGACGGGTTCTAGCTTTACCCTCCTGAGCTGGCGAAAGAGTCCTGGGGCATAACAGAAGCATGTTTTTGGCAAAGGTCATTGCACTCAGATGACACTGAAAGTCAGAGTCTGCTACTAAAAGTAGTTTTGTTTTGTTTTTAAATGCTTGCCAAACCCATATTAGCTACACTAATTTTACTCTAAAATTCAGGAGTAAGTTTTGGATTGTTGTAGTGGGTGGCAGCAAACCATAGGCTTATTTCTAAAATGTTTCCTGAATAAAACAAAATATAATCTTGCTGTGTGAGATCAACCTGTTAAACCAGTTTTGGATACTATCAAATATCTTGTTTTAAGAATTGTTTATAGGAAGTACCATTTAAATCTGCAGAACTGTTATGTAAGACCTGACAAAGAAACGTCCTGCAACACAGGCCAGCGATGTAAAAATGCCAACTTTGTCCATTATGATAAAACCACAGCTTTTACTTTACTCCCACATTTTAAAAGTACTTGATGCTTTTCCTCCATTAATGCCAAATACACTGGCTCACATATTCACACCCCCTTTTACACTCATACTTCATTCTTTCATAATAAATTCATCATGAGTGTATTCAATTCAGTTGTTTTCTTTTCCTATAGAGAGAAATTACTTTTTAGGAACAAACAATTGGCAGGAGAGGCCTAAATTATATGTTAAAAATTACGTTCTCCTCTGTTGAGAAATCTCTCTCAAATATCAAACCTCCATAATAGGGCTGGGCATTATAGCTAAAAAATGTATCAACGATATAATGTTTCATATCGTTCGGTATCGATAATTATTGACATTTTTTATAACCTTTTTTAAAACAAAGAGCAATAGAAAAAAATGTTTACATTTAACCACTGTATTT